TAGAAAATATGAAATAAAATTCATTTAGCGAAACAGGATCACATTTATCGTGTCGGAGAAAATTCAACATGCGACATGCTGAAGAAAAATTAAAATCAATTTCTCATCACGGCCCACGTAAACCGTACCGTGTTAAATTTGGTCAAAAATGAAAAATAATCCAGCAGTAAAATGCGTAATGAAAGTGGCGCAGAACAAAATAATAATTTAACGAAAGCACGGAGAGAAATATTGCTCACCGCTGGAAGCGGACAGGGCGAAAATAACACAGATATACCGAGATACATTTTTAAAACTTATTTCCTACTCAACGGCCAACGACTCGACGACTCGAGCGTTGGATTTGGAATTGTCTTCACAATCCGCGATTTACGACTGCTTTCTTTCTTTAACTTTTATTTTATTTCTCGTATAAATATAAAACCGCGCAAGTTGATTCAGAGGTCTAGCGAATTTACTATGTGATATTTTTATTTACTTTTTTGCTCTAGAAGAGAATTGTACGACTTATATTATATTGTTCATAAAAATGCCCACTTTCTATAAATTAGCTTTGGGAGCAATAACCTGTAACTTCCTACTTGTTTTTCCCAACAATTGCGTTTACTTAGAAACTTTCTTAGTTTGTTGTTTGGCTGGTGGAATTAATTGTTGGCTGGATGGAATAACCCGGAAGTGACCTGAGAAGATAGATATATCGCCGCTGTATTTTCCAATTTAAGAAAGAAATAAACCGGTCTTCGTCGCAGTTTGGCCGCGTTATCGTTGATCATCAGAGATATAAAAAGAAGCAATTCCGTGATTATCATTCAAAAAGTTGGACGATCCAATTCCTTCAAGTTGAAGGGTAGCAGCTTAAAGATCGAGCTAGGTATCAATGCAAACACATTTCATGGAGTTCGAGTAATCAATTTTACTCGAAATAAAGTAAATTATATTAAATTTCCTTTACTTTTGGGCAGGACAAAGCTTCACTTGCCTGTATAGTTGAGATGGATTTGATAAACCTTAGTAGAAGTTCAATTAATTAATCCCTTATGTAAGGTGTTGGTTGAGATAAAAAAGTCAGTATCACGAGCGGGATTCGAACCCACGACCTTCGGCTCATTACGCCGCTGCTCTAACCACTAGAGCTTCGATCCTCTCTCTCACATCTCAAAATTCAAACGGTTGTAGGTTGAGATGAAGAGTTAGTGTCCGAGAGGATCCAAGTCAGGATAGCTCAAGTGGTAGAGCAGCGGCGTATTAAGTAAGCCTAAGGTTGTGGGTTCGAATCCCGCTCGTGAGACTGAATTCCCATTTCAACATAGCCTTTCGAATTTTTTCCTCCTTTTTGCAACTTTTCAAATGTCGTGTAATCTATTTGATTGTTGGCGACAAATGAAATGGCCACGTAGAGCTTTAGTGAAGATATACTTCATTTAACTTATTAAATTCACTAGATTTCGTGGTCCGATTGACCAAATAACTTATTTCAATAAGCTGTTGGTTGAGATAAAGTCACGATAGCTCTGTGGTAGAGCAGCGGCGTAATTAGCCGAAGGTCGTGGGTTCGAAACCCGCTCGTGACATTATCTTTTTATGTCAACCAACACCTTACATAAAAGGTTAATTGAAAGATGTTATATTAATCGGACCACGAAATCTAGTGTACTTAATAGAAGTACTAATTCAAATTCTTCTTAAATTATATATGACATTATAAATTTAAATAATTTATAAGTTAATTTCTGCAACGTAAGAGAAAAATATTGTGGGGCTTAGAAGTCTTGGCTAATACGATTTTTTTCCGTGAAAGCGATAAAATACTTTTTTCATATGAACGGAAGCCTTAAGATGATGGGTAGAAAATATTTTTTTCTCCACAATATGCAAAATTGTCCGATCCGAAGTTTTGAAAGATTAAATCTTGTATTTTTAATAATTGATCATAACGGATTTTTTTTATTAACATTTATGAATTTCGATCAAGTTTGATAATCGTAGCTTAGATTGTGAAAACATTGAACTTACACTAAAAACAGTGTTTACTCTGCATATTTTTGTTCTGACAAAGTAACGATCACTTTTTGTGTTAATGATTTGTTAAGGTAAAATATCACGCTATCGGATTTTCCAATCAATTTTTCCGTAATCGTCTGAGCTTTTGCCTGTCATAACCTTTCAGCCCCGAACGTCACAAACTTCTGCTTTTAATTCCTTTATGTCAAAAAAGTCCACATCAAACTAGCGGCCGTCAATTTTCAAAGACCCCCAGTTTTCAACAAGGTGGGCCGTTTACGCCGAGGACTTTGTACGCTTGTTGGCTCGCTTAAGTGGCCGGTGATGTATTGGCTCCTTCGAACTTTAACCCTACAATAAATAAATACCCACGAGGGGTAAATTGATCGGAGGATGTCACCCTTGGAATCTCATGTCTCACGCATCCACCCAATAAGCTGTCGGGCTACACATTGGCGGCTCCTTAATCCGATGAACAAACTTAATTTTCTACGGAGTCACCCTTTGACTTAGACCTACAGTGTTATTTTGCCAAACCAACAATTGTGCTACATTAGCAGTGGTTTATAACCTGATCTTCAGAATATTCTCATGGAAATCCAGTCAAGTAATCTGAACGAATCACCCACTATGTTTGTCAGATGAGATGAGTGTCTCTGCGATGTCTCGAGTCGTTCAGTGGAATGGAAAACTCATTCCTCAGAAATTGGCCAAAATTAAGTTTTTAATAAATTCTTCAAATTTCTTTGAAAACAGACAGTCACTAATCATTAATAACTTAATTTTGCCAATCTGAACTCATATTTCAAATTGTTTTACACGGATGATAACCTTAAAATAGATCGAAAGCTTGGCCGGTAACACTTGATTTTTTTCATCCAGACATTACCGAGATTTAGAATAGTAGAGTTTATTTTTGGAAATAAACAGGTTCTAATGAAATAAAAACCATAACGTAATAGAATCTAAACAATGCCCAGTTAGTACAAAAAATGTGTACTGACGGCTCCAAAACCGACAAGGGTACGGGAACTGGACTCTTTAGGATGAACCCAAAAACCGAACTGACGGTAAACCTACGTAAATGTGCTACAGTTTTTCAGTCTGAAATCATAGCGATTGAACAATGCGCCAGAGAAATAAAAAGGCTAGGAAAGCATTCCCAGAAGAGAGCCTTTTTCTCTGACAGTCAGGCAGCACTAAGGGCCCTAGACTCATGCGAGACAAAGGCAAAGAGTGTTTGGAACTGCTTGAAGGCCTTGATGGAAGTCAGCGACACTAACGACCTGACCCCTGGCATGGTTCCTGGACACTCGGGGGACAGAGGCAAAAGGTTGACATGTTGACCAAAAATAGGGTCGTCTCTCTGGGCCCTGTGGCCCAGCTTTTTGCTACAAAAGAGGATACATCTCAAAATGCATCCTTAATGAGTCCAAAACCTGGTGGAACAATACCACAGGAATGAGGCACGCGAAGAGATTCATAGAAGGTCCATCAGCAAAACTATAAAAGAATTACTGGAAAGCAACCGCGACCGAACTAGGATTCTGGTTAGACTCCTGACAGGGCACTGCCACTTAAGAACGCCGGATGGGAGTACAGACAGAAAAAACACTGTGCAGATACTGCCAGGAAAAGGAGGAGACCGCAGGACACACATTTTATGTTTTTGTAAAGGACCATGTAGCTGCAGGTTCTTGCAACTAGGACAAGTAAAACCACAAGATCCTACACTAAGGAGCCGCAGGCAAAGTTATGGAGGCTGATTAGTAACCTGAAACTGGCCAGTGAGTTATAAATAACAGGGAAGCACAACAGATCTATTCAGGGCGAGGTGCAGTACGCCTTGTGGCCGCCTCTTTTATCCCTATCCCTAGATATCGGGCGCTACTTGGACTACATATTAATAATGGACTAATGTGGTATCCCCAGACACGTCTTAAATGTCAAGAAACTAAGGACCTTACAAACTAATATCATAGATTGAACTTACCAAACTAATTCCTTTAACAACAATCTATTGGAATGGAAGTCTGGTGCCAGCAGCCGCGGTAATTCCAGCTTTGAAGCTAAAGCGTATATTAAAGTTTTTGCGGTTAAAAAGCTCGTAGTTTGTTCTGCGTCCCTCACTGTCGGTGCACAGTTCGTCGGTGACACTGGCATGACATGGGATGTCCTATCGGTGGCGGCGGAGACCATATCGCCGTCGGATAACACCGCGGTGTGATGGCCTTCTGGTCAAGGTAGGCTGAAACGTTTACTTTGAACAAATTAGTGTGCTTAAAGAAGGCAAAAATCTATGCCAGAATAGTGGCGCATGGAATAATGGAACAGGACCTTGGTTATATTCTTTTGATCTCCGGTACACAAGGTAATGATCAATGTGGACAGGCGGGGGCATTCGTATTGCGGAGTTAGAGGTGAAAATCTTGGATCGTCGCAAGACCCACTATCGCGAAAGCAATTGCCAAGTATGTCTTAATTGATCAAGAACGAAAGTTAGAGGTTCGAAGGCGACCAGATTCCTTTGATGACTCGGCGGGGTGCTTTCCCCGGGAAACCAAAGCTTTTGGTAGGTTTCCCACCTTACTGACAAATCACCATTTACAAGACCCTCCTGAAACTGATATGAACATACGGAATTGATGTTTGGGTGTCAACGTAAAAATTCCGACAAAATCCAATCCATCCAATGAAAAATACTAAAAACTATCCCTTCTATATTTCAAACGTAACAATCCAGAATGACCTCCTAAACCCTTTTGTAATGACATTATTAAATCTTGACACAACAATTTACACTAAAGTTTAAACCTTCACTCCAATACACTTGTCCAGCAGTTTTCTTTTTTCGACATAACTGGTAACCCACGCGTGTACAGAGATCTTTTGACAGATTGATTGACTCAGTGTGAGGGAATGTCACTGTTGGGTGACTTCTATCATGTGTCATATAGTGATGCTAGGTTATCTCTAAATTTTCTTTGTATATTTTTCAGTTCGAACAACTCGCCTTCACCTGGATGGAAAGGCAGAAGCTCGGTGGGTCGTATTCCTCGCATCGAGCCCAGTCAGAAAAGCACGTAGTCGTCTGCAGCACGACTCTTCACGCGGATACGATAATGGATTTTCTCAATGAATTCTACGCTCATCCTTTACTTCAGGTAATTTTAAGGATTTCTCGCCAATGTGCATTTTCCCACGACGATTTCCATTTTCAGGACTATTACGTAGTTTTGTTATCGCCGATGGAATTGGACACGACTATGAGGATGATCCTGCAGGTGCCGATCTGGGCACAGCGGGTCATTTACATCCAAGGATCTTGCCTGAAGGACGTCGACCTGGCAAGGGCGAGAATGAACGAGGCAGAAGCGTGTTTTGTCCTCGCGGCGAGAAACTACGCCGACAAGACTGCAGCAGTACGTATTTTTCAATTTGCTGCTACGAACGCTTTGATTATTTCCCAATTTGCTTGAATCGAACGTCACCCGGCTCGGGGAAACTTGGGACGTCGGTGGCTAAAATTATGCATGAACCACAGGGCACTTGGGTTTATCTTCAGCGATCAATTTCAGACTCAGACTCTCAAAAGGTCATAGATTATTTAGTACGAACTTTATCAAGTCAGTATTGCAAGCTGAAACCCTATTTTTTTTAAATCGATATCGATATGCAGTAAAATCGAGTTTTATTTTAATAATATAAAAAAACAACACAGATTAATATTTTCTAATGGAAATAATACAATGTTAAATTGTTTCATGTTGTAAGTAAGGTGATGTACCTAAAATGTGTTCGTTACAGATCATCTTAGTGTGCCTAACCTGCCTGGGTTATCTGTCAGACGCGATTCAGTATTTCGCAATTTCCAGTCATTTTGTGGCGATCCCTTCTATTTTCATACATTTTCCGCGACCGGGTCGTGAAAATCATTATGGATCATTTGATTGGTGAAAAAGAAGGGTGCGTTGAGTATATAATGGAGATGTTGAAGGATCTGGTCCACAGTTCGGCTCCCTATGGCTACGGTTACTATGAACGCGAATTCTGAGGAAATTTTGTTCTGACGAGTTCTGACGACTTCGTCTGAACAAACAAATACTCGATTTTCCAGGGTTTACTTTGTCAGCGAAGGGTATGTCAGAACACGACATCGTCAGAACCATTCGAGCATTCCAACCAGTTTGATTTTTCGTGCGTTCTGACGTTCAATTTAGACAATTTTTATATTTCACCATGGATGTAGATAAACTGATTAGTCTTCCTTTTGAGAATCGGTGTTTGTGGGGCATGAACGACAAAAAATACAAAGTGGGACAAAATTTCTCAAAAAATCAACACTAGCAATAAGCCATATTTGGTTAGTGGTCATAATTAACCGCATTAATTAATCTAATGAATAATTCTTTTTATTTAATGTGCTTGGTTGAGACAAAAATTAGTGTCACTAGGGGGATTCGAGCCCACGACCTTCGGCTCAATACGCCACACTAACCACTTTAGGCTATCGTGACTACGATCCCCTCGGACACCAACTCACCTCAACCTACAATCGCTCGAATTTTCCCTCTTTTTGCCATTTTTCAAATTTCATTTTAATTAATATGTTAAATAATGACATTAATCAACTTAGTCAGCTTAATCAACGGACTTTCAAGAAAATAAAATTTATTTCGCCCATTTTACTGGGAGGCAGAAACATACATACTATCAGAAACGTGCACAATGTAACACCTTGTTCTGACGAAGATTTCGGACGTATTGACCGTAATTCATTCATGATGTAATTCGCATCCATAGTGACCGTAGCCATAGCTTCAATCGGTCTGATGAGTGTGTGTAAGCGGTTAGTTATGTATGCTTAGTGTTGATTATGGTACCGCAGGCATCTGAGTAGTCCATATGTTTTCTTGTGGGTTCTTGTCTTCATCTTATATGTGGGTTCCATGTAAGATCTGTGAAAAGCCCAAGGCGGGGGACTTGGTTGGATGAAGGTATTACCTTCTTGCTATGTGTACAGGTGGGCAGGTCTTTGAGCATAAATGCTACTTGTTGGTTTTTTTGTACGTTCAACCTGATAATGAGGTTCAAAAGTTGGATTGCGTCTGCGGCTAGGACAGATTGGTATGTGTAGATAGAATTGCAATGCCATCCGCAAAGGTTGTGTCGATGTGTCAGCTGAGTAGATGGTGTCCTTGTGGGACGCCTGCTTTGATTGGAATGATGAGTTAAAAATCGGTGCCAATTGGTACTTTAAACCATCGATCCGAGAGGATAAGGAATTATAAGGATTGAATTTTCCATTTTTTTTTTTCATTACATATGAGATGTTGATGGACTGCAATCTGGGAAAATTGATATTGAGCGGATTCTAGAGAAATTTAGAGTTTGGAGAGAGAGAGATTACCCTCAATTGAGTTGGGTCGCCCTTGCTCGCACATTTAATGGTCCTCCGGGCCGGATTGTAGTTTATTGCATCTCATTTATTTTTCAATTTTAAATTTCTATAACCTCACCAATCATGCCGATCTCTATGAAGGAGCTGGAGATCCGATTTGAAGATTGTGCGAACGAAGTTGAAGGGCTGTGTGATGACATTAAAGAAACAAGAGACTTGGGTTTCAAAATCAAGACAGACCCTGAAGCTTTAGACGAAAGTTCGATTTTTACAGCCCGTATTGCCCGCCTTGATAGTACATTTGAAAAATGTATGGAAAAGATATCTGAAACCATACGTTATGGCAAATCGTTGAACCGAGACACTTCGAATTTGGAGAATATGAGGAGTGCCACAAGAAAAGTATATTATGAAGCTTTGGCCTTTTCAACCCCACATACGACTTTTCAAACAACCGCATATGACGAAAAGATTGCACAAACTACCAATCATTGCTGTGCACCAACTAGCACTCATTCCAATTATCCCCCAATAAATTTACCAATTTTCAATGGTGAATTAGCACAGTGGCCCACTTTTAAGGACACTTTTCTGGGAGTTGTACACAATAAAAAGGGACTGGACGCTATGCAAAAGTATCATTACCTCAGAACTTCACTCAAGGGTCCAGCACTTCAAACCATCGCATTTGTCCCTTTTACAGAAGACGAATATAACCAAGCATGGGATACACTGCTATCGAAATATGACAATAAACGTCTACAGGCCATGAATCACCTCACACGGGTTTTTAATTATAAACCTATAAATAAAGTCACTCTCTCATTAGAGCAACTTTCTAAAGTTGTGTTTGAAAGTATAGCAGCCTTCCGAAATTTAAAAATAGAAGAAGAATCAAGTTTTATTTTCTTACCATTTATTTTGCGACTTGTTGGCCCACATCTTAGAGAGAAATTTGAAACCAATTATATGAAGGATAATAATCGAATTCGTTCATCAGCAGACCTTGATTATTCAATCGGAATTATGTTCTTCTGGAGCAGGTCTTCCTACAGCAACAGTCAAGTCTGGTGATGTCAAACGGATTTTGTATACACATGGAAATACGTTAACACCCCATTGTTTATCATGCCAACAGGAACACCCTTTGTACAAATGTTCTGGATTTCAAAAATTGACCCCGATTGAACGCTTCAGATTTTTGAAATCTAAACGAGTGTGTTTCAACTGTCTTTCGACGCATCATGTTTCCAAGATGTGTAAATCCAAGTCATCTTGTCATCAATGTGGTAAAAACCACCATACCCTGTTACATCTTGATAATTCAAACCTTCATATAAAGTCTCAACCAACAGCGAATGTAGAAACCGATTACAAGAGAGATAACCATGACACGGAACAACAAACTAATACTAAGCGCACAGTCCTGACATCTGCTGTTTCCAACAATCAAAGTGTTGCTCGGTACCGCACTAGCTTACATCGAAAATAGGGACAGAACATTTGAGCCAGTTCGCATCGTCATCGATTGTGGAGCTCAACGCTCTTTCATCACAGAAGATTTAGTGCGACGTTTAAGGCTAAGATTACACCATCGCATGTGTGGATTCGGTGATTCGCCTATTGAAGGAGGAAGACTTCAAGTAAAATGTCATCTGACATCACTCGCTGAAAAGACAGCATCTCCTCTTGTCACAGAGGCGGTAGTCATCCCCCAGATCGCCCAAAACATGCCCGCGTATGCCGTTCCCGCAGACATGAATAAGTTTGAACACTTTACACTAGCCGATCCATCCTTTTGGAAACCTGGATCTGTATTCGAGATGAGATGCCAAAAAGCGGTCGAAAGCTTCGGTAACGTCCAGCAATACGGCTGAACAATTTTGTTTGTTTTCTAGAGCCGAGGATATCGTATGGACTGCCCTGAAGCTCTGCTGAACATTAGAATGGAAGGATCGCAATCCAAATTGATGGTTAGGAATTAAATTTTTAAAGTCGAACAAATACTTCATGTTTTATCACAGAACGCAGAGCACATTTTACGAGATGCTCCGGCCACCCTAGTAGCTCCAGCTGCTATTCAAGAGTATTTTTCTTTATGAACTGATGCATTTTCCTTTTGGTATTATGTAATGGAACCATCTAACCCTCCTGTATAAATAGAAATTTAATTAACCGTGTTAAAACAATACAAACGAAAAACCGCACGAACTTTGCTCGTTACCTGGTATTATGTTCTCACTCGATTTTACCTATTAAATTTAACAGAAATTCTACCTGGCAAAAGAAACGTTACACTTCCTGCATATATTTACTAATTAACAATTGCGAAATGAAGAGCTGTAGATCATTTTATACTTTTTTTCTTAGTCCATCCCTCGATCCTTGAGCTTTGGCATTTATCAGATAGAGTATAGCCTAATATTTCTGCGCACCAAGTTTCCCTTATCAAGTCAAGTTTACATATGCGCCAAACAGGGATTTCATTATGATTTGATGCTAGGATGAGCACACTATTCTGAGGTCTTGGGCCGTCAAGGATTTCGCACCCTCCGTCCCTCAATACGTGCAGATCTTCCGGCCCGAGAACAAACTCCATGTCAAGTTCGCGGAGCACGTCGTCTGCGAGGACGAGCTCAAGTACGCCTTACTTGCTAACAACTGCACCTGTCCCGGAGCGTCCACCCTCGTCACCCTCCTCCTTCACACATCCAGGGGACAGTGAGTAATGACAAAAACAGAAAAGAAGAAACTCCGATAAACGTTCTTTTTATATCTTTCAGAGAAGGACAGACGTCATCCGAAGAATGGCACAGGCTCTACGGTAGATGTTCGGGGAATGAGATCTACCATATAAGGCTCGAGGATAGTCGTTTCTTCGGCGAGTACGAAGGGAAAAGCTTCACATACGCTAGTTTCCATTCACATAGAAAGTACGTTTGTTCGATTTATTTCGAAAATGGATTGTTACAAGTTTTGATTCAGGTACGGAGTAGCCCTGGTTGGGGTGCGACCCGCAGAACTGCCGGAGTTCTACGAGGACACGATACTTCTTAACCCGGGGCCGAGGCATATCATGAAGAAATCAGACACATGTTACTACATGAGCATAACGAAAGAAGAAAACTCAGCTTTCGTTGTCGCCAACAACCAAGCAGCCATCCAAGCTGAAGCTTTGCCACAGACCAAGACCGAAGGTAAAATATTCAATAATTAAAATAATTAATACGGTAAATTACTATTGCTAAATGGTATATATGGGTTAATTCAATAAAGGTGGTTTCAAAAACAGCAGAATGTATATTTTGCTTTAAGCCCTGAAAAGAAAACTATAGGTTTACCCTTTTATATAGGTTTACCCTTGTCAAGAACAAAATGTACAATTCGATACATATAGCTGAATATTTATCTCTGCATTTTATTAATCTTATGGTACAATAAACTGAAGCTTTGCATTAAGTACTTTGCCCTTCAGTTGGGCTTCAAATCTTTTTCAGTGAATTTTGAATGAATTTTGAAATATATCATTTTCCGTTTTCTGAATAGCGAGAATAGTATCCGTTGTTTAATCTCTTTTGAACATTTCCGATAAGTCTTTCCCATGGAGTCCACAGTAAATAATCCGTTCCTGCAAAATCAATTAAAGCTCATTGTTTGGACTCCTGCAAGTCTTGACCTAAATCGCACATATGCCGGGTTTGTTGATTAATCATGTCCTGTTACGGTTCCTCGCCGGACCGTTGGCAATTCACCCGGTCGCCGGGTACCTGGGGCTCAGTGGAGATTTTTTTTCCCGTAGCCGCTTCGTCTTCTGGCTGGGCTTCCTTCATCTTCCAAATGCCGCCCGCGCGTCTTCGGCCTCTTCCAGACCTCGCTCAATCTTGCCGAGGGCACCCTCGCCTCTGCCCGAGTCTGGTCACCCCTGAGCAAAAAAAAATTTTTTTCTCTCGTGTTCACTTGTAACAGCCCCTTATACGTGAAACGTTCTTTCGAAAAATTATTCGAACGAAAATTTACAAAGTTTAAAGGAGTAAACCTTTACTGCCGTAATAAACTTTCGTTCCTCACACTGACATATACTTGGGGACCAAGGCGGCGCATGTGTCCCGCATGCAGAGAAAGGTTGCTCAATGTGGGTGCCATTAGTTGGCTCCATATAGGGAGTTAGTAGGAATGCCGTCCATTATAAGAATTGTGCTGGAGCACGGCAGAGAATCTTTGGTATCCCTGTTCCGATTTTTAGAGGAAACAGGGTTGTTTTATTATATTGATAGCTTTATATACCTGTTTGTTGAGAGTGAATGTATTTATTGGCGTGAATGTGTAGTATGAGAGGGCTTGTAGGGGAATATTGAGTACCCATCGACCCTCAATTAGTTTATTTATGTAGGTATTAAAAGTGATAGGAATACCGAGTGCTCCACCACCCTAATTGAGCGAAAGCGTTTGGATCTAAGAACTGCAGTTGGGTCCTGAATTGACCTTTCGGTTGACATATGTTTCCCATTGGGGGGTCGGAATGTCTTAGGCAATGAGGCTCTTTAACGTGCCCACCTGGCAGGGCTTATTACACGTTTAGTTTTTCAAGTTAGGAGCGACTCACCTCCGCTTACGGTAGATACTGTGAACACCGTGAGGTTCGGTGTAGAAGCTACCACATCCACAGACTAATCAGACATGACAGCTTCTCCCGCTTGCCCCGTCCGAAGAAATGGATCAACATTGTGCACTTAACCGTGTGCCGCGCGTAAAGGGATACCCAAAAGGGCTGAATTGCATCAGCCGGTCTGCCAATGCGCTCCCTAGATATTGACGACAACTCTATCTCAGAGTGTTGGGGCTCCGCTAGCGTAGCAGAACGGATCCGCACCGGCCGCGGTTTCGTTCAAAGTTGAATTTCTCACCACCCCGTAGAGGAACCTGCCTTCGGTAAAGGACGCCTATGCAGGCACCACCGAACAACAGATCCTTCTCTAAGTACTCGCCAGGAACCTTACCACTAAGACACTACGAGTCCTTTCCTATATAGCTGGATTTGGAACGATTTTTCGATTTCCCGTAGTTCAGATGGTTATGCACCCTTCCCCGTCCATCCCGACACGATCTGGTACCCAAACCCCCGTGTGACTGATGCAGCACCGCCGTCCGCGGCCAGCTCGCAAGGCAACAACTCCCTTAACGCATTTCAAGGGACTGGGTAGGCGTAGTCTTTGCATCCTCGCATACTATACGCTTCCTTCTCCCACAAGAAACACGAATACAGCTTGTGCGAAGATCTCAAGACTACACCATTATTTTGTGCCTGGAAACCCCCCTTGGAAACAAGCGTTAGGAAGCGTCTTTTGGAGTTTCCTAGGAGCACCCACTGCACAGTCACGGGAACTGGATTGGGAGAAATTGACACGTCCAAGCCCAAGGTCGCCTTTGCCAGGATACACCCAAACCTCTAACATGATCAACCCCGCTCATTGTTACCGTGGTTCTTAATCATTAAGGGAGCTCCTTTGAGGGATACTGACATATCTGTTGACACTACCAGGAGCATAACCTCTGCAACTGGACGGACAGATCTGACCCCTACTGCCAACACCCGAGGTGGTTGCTTTTCGAACAATGCCGGTAATTTATTGTAAATTACAAAATATGAAATGGCCGGTGGATTGCGAGAGAACCTATAGATGTGTGTGTCTATATGTAAATACTATGCAGATTTGTGCTTATATAAATCCTAATACAAATTATGTCAACCAGTGTGGCTTATACAGTTTTGGGAAATTACTACCGAAAATATAAAACTTTAATTGTTTTAATAATATCGCGCTTTTCTTCCGATGTGAATCAAGCTACGAGCTTCTCGGTGCAGTGTTGCCTCCAGACAGGCCCGTTATCTTCCTTAAGCACCCAACTATCATAATTATCCTTGTAGTTTCTTTGAAAAATTGTGTCTATTCTTGCAAAAACTAAGCCTTCCATTGACAATTTGTCTACTGTTAGAAACGATAGAGACGATGATATCGACTCCCAAGACGAAAGACACCGGGGGCAGCGGAGGGACGCCGGTGAACGTTAGCCAGGATTCTGCCAGTAGTGGCTGCCCACAGGGGAACCACTTAGGACTCCCGAAGCCGGAAAACAACCCGAATCTACTCAGCCCCGAGATTCTGAACCAAAGGCGTGGTAGCAGGAGGCCCAGCATCCTCCCCGTCCCGGACATGTTCACCTCATCAAGCCTCAATATTTCCACCACGCCTCAGGATGAAATCGACGAGTCCGAAGACGAAATGGAAGACGACGTCCCGTGGAGATCGCCCAGCGAGAAAATCGCGTAAGTCACCAATCACCCAATTTGCCGTTATTATTTTTTAAAATAAAAGTTTTTGCTTTATAAAAAAGTTCAGCAATACATAAATATTAACTTCTGGAAAAAAGATAAAACCACAAATTTTGTTTTTACTCTCTTTTACAGATATTTTGGCATTTCAAAGTGAGATATTCTTTATCATTTCTTGATCAATATTTAACATACATTACATTTTCCTTTAAATATAAAAAGCACATACAGCTTTTAATGTAAGCTTTAAATCCTTAGAGTAAGCCATTTCGAAGTTTTTAGGACTTAACAGCAAACATGTTTCTATTTCCCTGAAGATAATCATTCACTAATAGATAATCACAAACTTATTTCAAGTTCACAATTAATAATCTCAAGAATTGATGTTTTTAAAATTTGAATGCCCTTCAGAAAAATCGTAAAATTCTGACTTTTAGAAACTTTAACAACTATTTAAAATACAAATTCAAAATGTCTTAGTCACATCTCAAAAAAGAACATAATCTGCTAATGGGGCCCAAATGGACGGTCTTACAGAAGCAAATCGTTTTATGGCCTTCATTTTAGAGATTATATTCTCATCAGGGCAACTAAAACGTTGAACTATAATTTCAAAACGCATGAATTTAACCAACACTTAATTTCAACTAAACGATCCACTTTATATATTAATTAATTAACCTCATCCGAAAGATTCCAAAGCCTAAAAAATCTCATAACCTTACATCATCCAACCGTGCTATTAGTCTGGTGCCTACAATGGGCAAAATTCTATAAAAAAAGCTTCTTGCTTAACAATCTCCCCATCCTTCAGGCCTGTAACCTTTCCCCCGACTACAAGTTTGGATTCAGACGTTCCCATTCCATTGTTCAGCAGTGACATGAAGTTGTTGACATCTTGACCAAGAGTGTGCTACTATTCCTTGGTGTGAAGCAAGCCTTCGATTGGATTTGGCACTAGGGGCAGTACTGGAAGCTTAAGAGAGTACTTCCTATACCGAACCCGTACCTACCCTTCCTTTCCTTGTACTTCTTTTGATTCCATAAAGATCATCTCAACCAGAATCCTTCAAACCCATGTCACATCCCTTGCGCTTGAGATGCTGAAAAACATACAGACGTTTCCTTAAAGACCGAATCAGTCCTAACATAGCCAAGGACTGTGAACACACTGACTTCTCACAGTCCTTGACAATGTCGGAACTGAGTCGGTCTTCAAGGAATTTCAGGACGTTCCCATTTCATTGTTCAGCAGTGCCATCGAGTGGTGGACATCTTGACCAAGGGAGTGCTACTATTCTTTGATGTCAAGCAAGCCTTCGATTGGGTTTGGCACTAGGGGCAATACTGGAAGCTTAAGAGAGTCCTCCTTATACCGTACCCGTACTTTCAAGTCATCAACGGTCCTTATTTAACAGCCGGCCATCGCAAAGATGGAGGAGTACCCCCCCTTGAAATCTAAATCGAAATAGGAAAATTCCTAATATTTACAAAACATACTTAAAAAAATATGATTATGATGACGGGGAATGACACAACCACACATAAAACACTTTGAGCCCTGAAGATGATCTCAATGAAGATCGAAACGTTAGCACGATAGAGAAAAGGTTTTTCTAAAACCTACGTCTCAGACCGCATCTCACGATCTCCGTATAATCTTCTATTTTGTTCATGCAAATAATGTTTCGTATAGATCAAGCAACATTTTACTTTTTTTCGGACCTCTGGTTTTCATTTGTGTTGTACAACAATTGACCGTTTTTGCATGACAATCGGACTCGGAGATGAGTCGCCTCCTGGATAATAGTGCATGTACGATTGGCCGTCGATTCGGCTTATTCCTGTTTCATCGGGGAATACGCGAATAAAAAACGATCGAAGTGATTGGATCGAGTGAACTCATCTCTGTGAAATAGTGATGAACAGCCCGTGTTTTAAAACGCCGAAAATCCAGTTGAAATGGTCGTATTCCTTCCAAAAACGATGATACACATTTAACTCTTGACTTTTAAACAACCATCGTAACAATTAAAGCATTGCATTAAAAATAATATAATATTTAGACTTTCGTCCTGGTTTTCGTCCTGGTTTCTCATCGAATTCGGCTATTTTAAAAACACAGTGAAACTTCTGCTGAGGTCTTCATGCTCTTCTGAGGTACAAGGGAAAATGGATTCGAACCCGGGACCTTTACCTTACAGTGATGAGCGCCGTGTCAACGCCTAAACCGTTGCGGCCACCGACGCCCCTGAAAGCACTATTACGTTGGATGACGTTTAAAACAAATTTTTTTGGCAAAGTCGTCGTAGATGAGTATTTTTGTACCATCCTTTTAATGTAATCTTGCCTTATTACTCCTCGATCGAGAGGTTTTAACTCACTGGTAGTGTTTGGCAAGAAAACTAACTTAACGTTCTATAGATCAACTTTTTTTGGATGTGTGGTGTCAACCAATTCTGGAATGGTCTCGCCCCCCACAGGCACAGACTTCAGACTCGTCTACCTGAACATTTGAATTTTGAGCACACCTTAAATTTTGAGACTTTATAACTATTCCCCATCCAGTGGAAACTATCTTTCACCAATACCAAAACCTATCAAATCCCCCAGTTCCCTATCCTCTTATAGACCAATAAGCCTCGTTCCTATGTTATTCAAAATCTTTGAACGTTTCCTTAAAAGACTAATTACCATATTTGACTCTTAAAACTTAATTCCTAACCATCATTTTGGATTTCGACCTCTCCATACCACTGTTCAGCAGTGATTCAGAGTATTCGACACAATATCCTCGGCTATATAAAACAAACAATACTGCTTAGCCTTATTTCTGGACGTTATGGAAGCATTTCATCAAGTATGGCACCCCGGCCTCCTTAATAGTTATAACGTATCCTCCCTCATCCCTTCTATCTCATCCTGGAATCGATGGTTTAAACTGCAAATAAGTACGGATTTTTCACCCATCACTTCAATCAAAGCTGGCGTTTCACAAGGAACTGTCCTAAGCCCAATGCTCTTCACCATCTACACTGCCGACAAACCCATACATCCTTACACTATAATGTTGTGGGAGCGTGTATTTATAACTCTGTGGGATTAATATGTTGGTTATAAAAAATAAAATAAAATAATAAGTCTGCACCTTAAACATGAAAGATCCTTATATTAATAACAAATTAATGAATCGAATATATCTTATAAATGGTTACAACTAATTAAGTAAGGAAAAAGGAATTCTTATAATAGAATGTAATTAAGTGTAAAGTTATTTTTTGGTTTCCTTTTCTCTGGACAAGGTATATAGTATAGTGTAACAAACCTTTATGAATGTACACCACCCCACAAGATTTTTTCACTAGCAGTTTTTTTGTCTTGATAATGTCAAACACTTTTATTTTTACTTTATCTTCTTTCTAAAGTTGCAAGTGACCGAGTAACTCCAAATCCAATCCAGTGTGGCTCTCCTTAGGCCTGCCGCCGTCCTCTCGTATGCCTCCTCAATCATTGGAACTCTGCCTTATTGATTTTTATGTTGCTTTGGCGGCCTTTATGAAATGGCTTGTCATAACAACAACTCACAATTGATGACACAGCAATCTTATTAACACACTCCAATTCTATCCTAGCAACAGAATCAACCCAACAACAACTGAACCTCATTACCAGCTGGTGCAATCTGGTGCGGATTAGGTTAAACGAACAATAATGCCTACATGTTACATTTATGCTTAAACGACAAAGCTGCCCACCAGTGCACATTAACAACAAGATAGTACCAACATCGAACCAAGTCTGCTACATTGGGCTTTACTTAGTAGACTTACATGGAACCCACATACGGGATTAAAACCATCAAGAACTTACCGAAAGATGTGGACTACTCAGACACCCACTGGGACAAAATCAACACTAAGCATTCATCACAATCTAACCGCTTACAAAACACTCATCAGACCTATTTGGACCTACAGAGTTGAACCGTGGGGCTTAGCCAAATCATCCAATATCTAACGAATACAATCCACCGTATTCTCAATGCATCTGTCACCAATCAAACAATCAATAAAAATCTTAAAATCCCTTTCATGAAATATCTTATCCGAACACTCTTCTTCAATTTCCACTCAAAACTATCCCTCCACCCTAACCCACCAGCCCTAATTCTTTCCTCAACGTCTCACCCTTACTCCCTTCATGCCGTTTGGCTTTGTGACCTTCTATCTTAACCCACAATTAAATCTAACCCACCCAGTTTAATTTAACCCAGCCGATTAAATAAAAGAAATAAAGAGAGTCCAGTACTGGTTGGTTTCTCTCGCCACTGCCTCCTGGTCTGACATATCTATCAGATTTGTATAAAACTAAACTATTTCCCCAATGTATATTTTGGACATAATTTAAAAACAAAAATTATTCAATACCTTTGCAATCAAATTCACACTTGATTTATGTATTGAAAGTTTGCTGTTATGTTCTATTTGTAAATAATGTGTGACTTTTCGCATGTTCTCTTTGTTGAAAATAAGAAAGTAATAACATCTTAATATTTTAATATCAATTGGCATGTCACTTTTATGTTATGAGGATCCCCTTTTATGCTCACCTTAAGTACATGCACGCTCTTATCTGTTTTAAGAAAAATTTCACATGTTTATTATTTTATGCCTTTTATAAATTATACTTCCTTGTGATTGTTTTGGAAGAACTTTTCAATTAACACAGGTAAGGATAATCAATGAAGCAGATTAAAATGTTTTAAAATTGTCCGTCAGCTTAATTTTTGATATTTCTATATCCACTTTTTAATTGTCGTTTGATCTCTCACTCTCTCCTTGTCTCTCTCTCTCTCTCTCTCTCTTTATCTCCTTCACCTGTTTCATTTCTGTTTGTTTGTTTTTTTGTGTGTCGTTATTGATGTTTTGATGTTGAGAGATATTGTGAGACGGCTGGTGTATTGTTCATGTGACCGGTTGTCTGCCATACCAAAAACACAACCTTCATGCAAGCACGTTCTCCTTCAGATTCCATATCTCTGTCTCGGATGCGGACGAACCTGCCTTCACGACCAGTACCGATTGGAGGGCGGAGATCAAAAGGTAAGTGCGAGTTAAAAAAAAAAAAAAATGATAAAAGGCTTAGGCAGGTAAAAGTTCATTCGAGAAAAGCTAACATTGAAAAATTTTCATCTTAAAGCTAAATAACACCCATCACATAGGATAAAATGAATCAGTAGGCTATGTTTTCACATACCTCGCTTTACATCATAAATAGAGCCGTTAAATAACAAGTATTTCCTTTTGTTCAAGACACTCAATGGACTTGAATCTTTTTTGTTTTTGTTATAAATTTTAGAAAATTTGCAGCTAACAAGACAAGTGGACTTAACAATATACGCTGAAAAGGATCTTTACATATTGAAGTTAAACAATTATATACTATAAAGTTCATTCTAAATAAAATATGCTTATGCTTTTGCTCCAATCAATTTTTTTTTATTGTATACTCATATTACAGTATTTTCCTTTGTATTGCCTTCTAAATAATTTTTAAACATTTAAAGCATTTGGTTCAAATAGCTTTACAAAAATTATCATTGTTTTATTGTATCTATTTTAAGCCTGTTAAAAGCCAGATATAACAGAAAACTGTTACACTTATAACTAATCTGATGAGATTAAAATAAATGAAAATTTCATCATTTTTAGCCATCCTCTCCTGTCACAAGGGATCTCCTTAAGCATGACTTTGCTAGTTTGTTTGAAATTTTGTATGGCTTTTGGTTTGAGTGCTTCGACCAATGTAATATTTGGTGTAGTTGCTTAAGTTTGATGTACTGTTCTTTGCAAGTTTGATGTTTATCATCTTAATAAAAAATTTTTTTTAAAAGTTAGGTCATATTTTAAAATATGTATTGATTGTGTGGCCAGGATTGTGAAGGGGTTTCCACCAGTATCGCCCTACATTGGCGTCAGTCCGACGCTCTGCTATCTGCTCAAAGAGAAGAAACCGCTCTGTTGCTTACAACTAGCGCAGGTATATAAGATTTCCTTTAATCGTGATAACGTCTCATAAAATTTTCTTTCTAATTTTACAAGGTTTGTGAGCATTGTACACACAGAAATGCGAAAGAGTACAACTGGCAAAACAAGACTATAATCCTAGCAGCAGATTATGCATCAAACGGAATATACAATTTTATAATTCCACTCCGTGCGCACTTTCGCTCAAAGAATTCTCTGAACCCTATTATTTTGTTACTTGAAAGGAGACCCGACATTGCTTTTCTTGATTCTGTGTCCTACTTTCCTCTTATATATTGGATGCTAGGATCTATCGATTGGTAATTCCATTTGGATACATCATTTTTTTATTATTTTCATTTATGTATGTTTTTTATGAATAGTTTGGATGACTTATTAAGAGCAGGAATCACATTGGCAGAAAATGTCGTTGTTGTTAACAAAGAGCTGTCAAATTCGGCTGAAGAGGACACACTTGCAGACTGTAACACAATTGTTGCAGTGCAGACAATGTTTAAGTAAATATCAATTTTATTTTTTCTTGAAAAGACGAATTAATTTTAAATGACGTTTTAGGTTTTTTCCGAGTATAAAAAGTATAACTGAGCTTTCCCAGAGTTCAAATATGAGGTTCATGCAGTTTAGAGCACATGACCGATATGCTCTCCACCTCAGTAAAATGGAAAAGGTAAATCTGGACAAAAAAATTTGAGTTAATGTATGTGATTTTGTCCTTTATTTTGCTATCCTTGACTACTATATTTATCATTTTGTTTTGTTCTTTTTTTTTTATATCACCTTTTTGTTTTTGTTTTGACTTTTTTTTTCTTTAAATTTTTTGTTCAGGGTGGCAAAACTTGTAAGAACTGGTTCCACTACCCGCAAGTAAGCTTTATGTGTTTTTTTCATTATTTACCCTTTTTTTACGTGATTTTTTTGTTTTGTTTTTCATTTGTGAGTGTCAAATATGCTTTAAACAATTTCAGGCCTGAATGAAATAAAACACATTTGAAAGAGAAAAATTGAGAATTTGATCTTACACAGTTTTATTGTTTCAGGATCAATTTGATTTATCTGAATTTTATTCGACAAAAGTAAGTCTCATCTGTTGATAGATTTTTTTTTAAAACCAAACAAGCACATAAAACGTCTGTCCTACACTGATTGAGAAAATGTATTTTTTAAACTAATTTATACAGATGTGCCCCTTTTACCAAAACCTTGAATATTCAAAATTTGATCGATTGAATAAAAACTTTAAATTTAAAATAATTTTCAGAAGGTCCTGTATTGTTTTGGGCATGACACTTTTAGGCCCATTATTTTTTTTTTTTTTTTCACTCAAATGTTCAAGCATTTATATATCCTTTCCTTTTTTTCTCCAAGTGTACTCTCCTTGTGTGAAAGTGGAAGAATTGTTCAAGCCCTAATGTCGCAATGTTTTGCAGAATGGTAGCTTGCATAGTTCTGGCTTAATATCCGTAAGTGACAAAATCCAAAAAATTGCAAAAATTAAATTATCGTAGAATTGCTCATGCTTTCATTTCTGTCCTTATTGTTTTTATCCGAATTGTTTGTCATATTTTAGTTAGTTTCAATTCTATTTCAACCTTCATTGTACTTGCAAAAAAAAACCTTTTTTTTCTTCCTACGCTTTTTATTGTCAATTATGGTAATGATATACAAAAGGAATTATAGTACGATTGTTTTGTAGTAAAACTAGACATACTCTCCGAGAAATTTTCACCCGGGTGTTTTTTTTTTTTTAAATCGGTTTCTTCATTAATTTACTTACATTGCAGAGAGAGAAGGAAAGAGGATCACATATATCGTACATGTTCAGGCTACCTTTCGCTGCAGGCAGTGTCTTCAGCGCAAGCATGCTCGACACACTTCTATACCAGGCGTTTGTCAAAGATTATGTCATAACATTCGTGAGACTCCTACTTGGTGTTGACCAAGCCCCTGGATCAGGATTTCTCACTTCTGTAAGCAAAGCTATTTCTGTTCTTAATGCTTTATAATTTTATAATTATTCAGAAATCGTAAGATGCGGTCTGGTGTGATGTAAGATTGAATATAAAAAATATATTTTGCATTGTATAAATTCACTTTTCTACATCCTAAATATATTTGTTAAATGTAAACAATGTTTGTAAATCCCAGGCCCTGAAGATGATCTCAATAAAGATCGAAACGTTGGATAAAGAAAATGTTTTTCTGAAACCTACATCACACCAGACCGCATCTCACGATTTCTGAATAATTATCGATTAACGGTCACTAATCACCACACATATCATTTTATAAATTTTTTTCTGTTTGATTTTAGATGAAAATAACAAAAGAAGACATGTGGATCAGGACATATGGCCGGTTATACCAGAAACTTTGCTCAACCACTTGTGAGATACCGATTGGTATTTATAGGACACAAGACACCTCTACAACTGGATCACCACAGGTAACATAAATAAAAATAAAAAATGTGACAAAAAAATTATACAAAACCAAATGAAAATGACAGTATTACAATAAATACAAATTTAAACTTCTTGTAAATATATAATATTTTTTTAGATAAAAAACTGGTTGAAGGTAGATTTAATTTGTGATTTTGAAGCAATTACAAATTTTATTAATATGCATGTTCATAATTTGTAAGATAAAGTTCTGTTTGTTAAATTACTAACTGCACCTCTTTCCCTTGGCGGAATCCTTCCTTTTTACTTAACCTTTTAACTGAAAAAAAATCATTTTAAAAAAATGGCATGCCCTCTTTAATATGTATCCTCTTTTCTCTGAAAGTCGATTGGTACTTCTCTTTTCTATTTAGTTTGGAACTCGGTATTTGTTTTTCTTTTGTTTGTGCCTTGCGCATGGAAGGAACCTTGTTCAGCGGAAGGAAGCATGGCATACCAGCCTCTGCCGACCAACTGTGGGGCGAACAGCGCTTCTCAGCATTCTATGGTATGTATGGTAATTCGATAACTCACCGATACCGACTTAAATCCTACATTGAACACCTTTTTGTTTATTTGATAAAAGTATTTCAAAAATTTCAATCTTTTACAATTTTACAAATAATTGATTAATACATAATTTACATTTTTTATATTGTAAATCATTATTTCTCATTGTTCGCGCCAAAAATCGCGAATTATAATTGTTTGTTTTATTTCTGAAGTGTATGGTGTGGGTACTTTAATGAAACTACGTTTCACGCAAAATATGAAAAAATTTACTAACTAATTAGTTAAAATTGCTATCGGAGAATATTGTTCGTTAAAAAAGGTAACTTTATTTAAAACTAAACGAAAAGGGTTTGGGAGCAGAACGGTTTGTACCAGAGGTGTAGGCATAAATAAACAATTGTTAATCCTTGTGCTAGATGATAAATTCTTTAAATAGACAATTAGTTTTCAGAAAAAAAATTTAATCCGGCCCGGAGGACCAAATTTTCTGCACGCGCTGTTCGGTCGCAATAAAAATAAAATTAAATTAAATAAAAATACAAAATAAAATACTAACTTGTTAACTGTGGCTTGATTTTCTCGACAACCAGGGAGGAGAGCCGTTTAATAGCTAGAACCTGCAATAACTCTGGCCAAAGGTAAAACAGAATCCTAGTCTATTAATTACCTTCGGGGCTCCGTCCGAACCCTGTATGATGTGTCGGATTAAGGATGTTGGAGGTGACACTCGCGTTATTTTGAACGCGATAATTAACAAAACGAATAAAAATGTTTCTTGAAAATAAGAGAAAAACTGAAAAAACTAAAAGAAAATCACTCTTGGAGGCTAATTAATAGTGGACTGTTTGGAAGCAAGACGGAAGCGAACAGGACTAGAGCAGGACTAGGCAGCAACAGGACAGGATTGTGGCGAGGGAACAGAGCTAGGATAAATTCTAGATTAGCGGCATTTCGGAAACAAAATAAACAATTATAATTCGCGATTTTTGGCACTAACACTCATTTTAATACATTTCATTTTGATTTGTATACATATTTTATTATATTATAGAAGATAATTCTCTATATAGCCCACAAAGGCCAGAGGTCGTTGGAAAAAGGTTTACCAAAATCTTTCTTTCAAAAAAACAATTTCATATATCACATTTTTATTATTTTTGTCATGCATCTTTCTTTTCTTTTATTTACTTATATTTTTTTTACCTTATGAAATAGCTGACTGGCATGAATGCAGCATTTTGTGAAAATTTGATATCACAGTAGAATACAATGTTACCAAAGCGAAAAGAGAGTCTATAAATTGCTTGGTAGATATGTACTTATCTACAAAAATAGGTTTGTAGGGTTGTAAGTCTTTAGTATATTTTAATTTTGAAAACAGTAGAGCAGTTGATGAGGTAAAGCTATCATCATTTAGGGTTTATTAAATTTTTAAATATTTTTGGAACAATTCTCTATCAAAAAAAAAAAAAAATTCAGCATGCCCCCTCATAACCCTAAAAATATCTATGTAAAACCTTTAGATCCTGTCTTGGCTCTAAGGCATGATTACATTCTTCATTAAAAAAATAAAATATTATTTTTATCTATGGATTTATTGGAGGAAAAAATCCTAAAAATGTAAAGTTTTATGCACGGTAAAAATTTATATTTTTTCACTATAAATGATATTAATTGATCATTTTATTAATTATAATTTAAATAATTATTGAACATGCTGAATAGCACATCAAACAAAAAAAAATTTTTTTCCTGGAGTGATGGACAATGGATGATAGGGGGTTGCTCACGTAGCCAAATCTGCCCAGAACAGCTTTTTAGTCCAAGCTTATTTTCAGTTAGATTTATAGCTTTAACTTTTGAATTGTCTCAATTAAATTTCACAGCGAAAATTATATTTTCGTTCCCACTTTGAACTTTTTTTTCAAGCCCAAACAGTATAGTTTTAATTGCAATTATTTGGTCTTCAGAAATTTGTTTTTATTCCTTGAAGATTATCGCTGACGCACGAGGCAGTCTGAGACAGTAAGTGTTCTGCAACTTAAAACCATGTCTTCTCACAAAAATTCTGCTATTTTTTATGTCATAGAAATACACTAAACAAAATTAATTATTTACGCATCATAAAATAATTATAATGATGGGATAATAGTGTCACTAATGCATATTCTCTAAGCTTAAAAAGCACTATTTTTCGACTAATTTATTGTGCTTTATGTAAACGTTAATCCTTTGCTTTACTCACTTTTTTAAAAATAATTTACACCAAAATTCCTATAAAGGTACTTTATAGCTTTTTTTAAATCTTTTTTTAGTATTCAATAAACATTGGTGATGAGGCAAAGGATAACCACAATGAGATGATTGAAAGAGCTGAAATTGCAAATTTAGTCAGGTCAAGGATGGAGAGCTTGAATTTGCCTTCGATCGACTACGATGATGTGAGTGAGAAAAGGTCTTCACTGAGCTATGTCATCATCAACCCGAGTTGTGATCTGAAGCTGGAAGAAGGGGACATTATGCAAGTATCACACTCTTCTGGGCATTCAGTTGGAAAATAATAATAATCTTTTTCAGATATTTGATAAGGCCAAGCCCTTTTTCGGCACAGAAGACTTTCGAAAGGCACAACTCGAGGCGTAAGTCTAATATTAGCTTCTGCTCGACGCAAATGCTAGGAGCTGCGGCCGGCTCAAGGAGAGGATCTGGGCAATATTTTCCACCGCCACCTCGTGCGCCTCCATTGGCCACAACTAAAGCGAACTCCCTCAGCCTACCGGATTCTCCAACTGTCGCCGGGACCTTCCGGGGCAGGTCAGGTTTTACGCTTATTTAAATTTTTTCTTCCTGTCGGGCCATCATAATGTTTTTATTTTATGCTTTTAGGTCCAACTCTTTGAGAGTTGTAGATGATATTCTTATGAGACGAAGTAACTCTCTGAGGCAGGGTCTGGCAATGAGAAAGAGCAGTCTTGAAGAAATCGGCATCGGACATTATCCAGTATGAAAATATTTGTTTAAACAAAAATTTTAATTGTGAGATATCGTGTTGGTCGGTGATTAATGTGCAACTTGATTAAATCCCGTGTTAATTCTTCTGCCGAGAACTTGCAGACCAGGATGACAGAATTTTCAATACGTCAATTCTTTCAGAACATTGAAGGCAAAGAAAATTTTTTAATTCAGTCTTGATCGGTTGTTTTAGACGATGACTCCTCTGCCGGTGGAGACATCAGGGATCAAAATAGCTCTAAACGGCAGCATAGGCTTGGAGGTGACTCCTCCAGAGGAAAATTCTTCGCCTAGCATATCTAGCAACACTGGCTTGCTTGTCGGTCCGACAGGCACCCAGGAGTCTCTTCAGGGGACGATCGTATGATATAACCTGATGTGGGGCAGACGGCTTCCCCAAGGAGGACCTCCGACGAGGAACAAATGGCTCTGATCTCAGTCCAATGTGCAGCACAATCCTCTGGGTAGGTCTCTTGCAAATAATTTACCTCTACTCCAAGGAAAAATTTTTTTTAAACTATTAATGACACAGGAGAAAATATTAAATGGGCCATTGGTGCATCTCTCAAACAACTCAATCAATATTCAATGTTTACTAATTTGCCAACGTTCAAAAGGGTAATTGTATTTAAATAATGTTAACGGCTTACGTTAGATGATATGTGTACTATATTTACAAAAAAAAAGTGGTTGTTTATTTATTTTTCTTACATGGACAACAGTTAATTCACATCATATTCTCTATTTTCGTTTAGTTATTAGTTCAGATGATTTTTTTTCTTCAACTGAAACAGTAAAATCATTCAGCAACACTACTCCCCCCATGAAATAAATAAATTTATAATATCAGAATAAATCAACATGCCATGTACATCGACTGAACAAACAAGAGTCTTTCGTAAGCGAAAACGTGACCTAGCAGCTCTTGTTAAACACCCTCCAAAAACAGTCGTTGAACATACTCGCGAGTACAGAGCAAGGCAAAGGAAAATTACGAACAGTCAGTATTAAAATACGGTCTTGAAGAAGAAGTAAGCAAGCCGAGCTATTTTAAGGTCATCACCAAGGCAAAACAATCGTAAATATGTCTACAGATTGACATATTTGAGAACGCCTGTAAAAAAACTTAAATATGTCAATCTGTAGACAATCAGCCCTCTTACACTACACTTTCACACCAATAAATACATTCACTCTCAAACGCTAAATATGTACAATAAAATGACCCCGTTTCCTCCAAAAATAGGAACAAGGGACCCAGACGATCAATCATGATTTTCATATCAAGTGGCATTCCTACATGCTCTCTGTATGGAGCCAATGAATCGCATCCTTCAACTAGGTGGGAATGTCGAGCAACGGACACATATGCAAGTTTTAGCTCAAAAGTAAATGTCTGTGTTCTAACCTCACAAGGCATATTCTTAAACAGGTGAGGATGACCCTTCTTCGATTCAGATCCTCAGGGCAACTATTGATCAAGCTCTTTGCTTTTTGCCAATCTGGCCCACCAACGCTTCCATTTTGTTTCAATCATATTTTTAGCATCAGACAGTTGGGTCACAATGTTTATGTATAGAGGTTAAGACATACTATTTTTATTATTTAATTTATTAATATGTTATTAATTTAAACTAGTATTGAAATGGATAAAAAATAAATGTTACACAGGAAAGCAATTGAATGTTGATCCTCGCCTATGTGATATGAATTGTTTTCAATTAAAGCGTGAAGTTGAGTGTCACTCAGTCATCCGGAGCTTTCGTTTTCATACAAAGAAAAATAATTTTTTATAAACCTTTCAAACCACATCGTTCAATAAACATCATCTGTTTTATTTGGATATTTTCCTCAAGACATCAGCAATTTGATTTTTTAGTCGTCATGAACACTCTGGCTCAAGGTATCGTTTTGAAGAAGGAAGCAAATTCAGTCGTTACTGCCAAGCTTTCGACCTATTTTAAGATCATTATCAGGGTTATGGTTGCAATGCTGTTCCAAACCTTGGCAATGTTGGGATTGAGTCACTCTTCAAGTAAATTAAGGTTATTAAAACCTGCCCATTCTTCTTAAGCATTAGTGTATACGTACTAAAGTCTCGAGGCCATCGTCATTTGAGTTGACGTGAGCGTCTTTGAGATGGGACGTAGTGGAGTGAGCTTGGGAACTAGGTTTAAGGTGGGTTGAAAGATTAGAGTGAAACTTGATGGATAAGTTCTTGTAAGAAGGGAATCTTAAGGTCATTGTGATTGAAGATGTTAGGAATTTGAAGGATTTTTCTGAGGACGTTTGATTTGATGCTTCGATTGGTTCGATGCCTTGGTGGTACTTCGTCCATATTGGTCGAAATAACGTTTTGTACAGAGTTATTTGTTCTTTACCATTGTCTGATTTCGGTCCTGAAAGTCTTCCTAGTCCAAATTCTGTTTAGTACTTAGTGTCAATCAGTCATCTGGAGGTTTGTTTTTCATACAAAGAAAAATAATATTTTACGAATTTTCAAACGACATCATTCAATAAACATCATCTGTTTTACTTGGATATTTTCCTCAAGACATCAGCAATTTGATTTTTTAGTCGTCATGAACACGGCTCAAGGTATCATTTTGAAAAAGAAAGCAAATTCATTTGTTACTGCCAAGCTTTGGACCTACTTTAAGGTCATCGTCATGACAAACTAGTCTTAAATATGTCTATAGCAATCAACGTTATTATTGATTGAATCTTGAGACTGAGTCTTCAAGGAAATTGGGGATTGCCTGTTAAAAACCATGTCGTATGTCAAACTGTAGACATTTTTAAGATTGTTTTGCCTCGAAGACCTTAAAATAGGTCCAAAGCGTGGCAGTAACAACTGAAGTTACTTTTTTCTTCAAAACCATACCTTGATCCAGAGTGTTCATGAGTGAAAAGTAGTCGATATTTTTAATATTATAAACAGAAATTTTTTAGTTGTCTTAACAACCATTGTTGAGAAAGTGTTTATTTTATAAATCGCCATAATTAAAGAAAACAACTGATCAATTTTGATGTCATTTTCTTAAAAACTGATATATAAGTGGGAAGTTTATGGGCCGACAAACAGCTGAGGTCATCGCTGGCCCTCTGCGTGTTTTCCATCTTTTTCTTTTCTTTCGCGCATATTTTGTTTTAAACTGCAGCCATTTCAGCGTCTCGATCTGGTTACTGACTCTCTGATTTCAGATATATACTACGTTGATATTGTAGAATGCTAGTCTCTCGTTTGTACTTCAGGTTATCAAATACAGAATAAAAACAAAACATACAATACATATGTATACATCACCACAAACATAGATGTCTGGTCACATTCATTCCCCCAGATTACTCGATATTCCTCGGGGCGGGGTTATAAGCAACCCCTTCCTTTCACGTTAATAAATTACTTTTACTCTCCAGACGTCATACACTCACCCCAGAGTACTTGATATTCCTCGGGGTGGGGTTATAAGCAACCCTTTCCTTTCACGCTAATAAATTACATTCATTCCAATAAATTAACATAAAGTCAAACACAGACACAACACAAACACATAAAACTATATACATTTAAAAATACCTATAGCCCTGAGGTACCGGAACAGTGACCTGTGCCCGCTGCCATGCCTCAAGACTACGCAGAGGTCCGATGATATGCCAAAATATTAACTATATATACATCATGCCTTCTGCAATTGAAGAGGTGCTCGACCATTATTCTATTCTTACATAACGGGCACCTGTGCGGTCGCTTTCCGGCCAGAAGGTGCCCGTGCATTATTCTTGTATGACCTATGCGTAGTCTTGTCAGTATGGCCTTTTCCCTTTTCAAATTATCTGTGGACCTTAAAAACTGATAAAAATTAACTTTATAAGCTTGACTTGTAAAGGCTCGGCAATATGACTAATCTCTATTTTAATGACCATTGAATTGTATCAATTATTCCTTTTTAACAAAATAATTTACCTATTAGTTAATCACTTGAATAAATATTTTTTTATTATTTTGATTAGTAACAATGTTTTGAGCCAATAAGCAGAAATTTCTGAATCATTAGGAAAAACAAAAACGCCGTTGTTATAATATAAGTTATGTTTCAGGAGTGCGGCACATGTAAGAATTCGCAAATTTTTAAAAATGCTTCATTTATTGGATTGGGCACCAGTTAGTAATGAAGATCTGGACACTAAATACTTGTCTCTGACCAAAGAAAAACTGAAAAACGTGTGTGCTGTTGCCTGCTTCGACTACCTTCTACGCTCGTCTAGTGTATACAGTCATATTTAAAAAAAAAATAATGTATTTTTTCTTTGTTGTTGAGGTGGTTATGTTGTTTTCTTATTGGTTTTACATTGCTAGAAAAGACGAGCTCGTGATTCCTTTGATGCCGAGTGAGCTTTTCGATTTGGGTAGAGCTTTAAAACAATTAAATTAAAAATTAAAAAAAAAAAATACGAGCCACGGGTGTGTGGTCCGGGAAACAATTTAGTTCTTTCTTTGCTGTAATATTTTAACATATCAGAGTTAATATATTATAGATTCTTTCCGTTTCTAAAACACCCATATCAGAATTAATTTTTCGATTCTTTGGCTATCCTGCCTATAAAATCTATTTTTCATATTTTAAATTTAGTCTTTTGGTTTTTGAAAATTTCATAATTTTAGCGTCAAACAAACGGGTCCATTTTTTCGAAGGATGAATCTGAAGGAATGATGTTTAAAACTATTCTACTTAAATAAATATATAAAATTTGTACAAATTATAAAGTTAGTAAAAGAATACATATATATTTATATAAACTCATATGTTATATAAAATATTATTTGGGAAAGAAAATTGAGTATATATATTAACAATAGTATAAAAATAGGTTTATATTAATTTTAAAGTTTTATACAGATTAAAGAATTTTGACTAAATTTTGAGAAAAAATAACTAAAAAAATACAAAAAAAAAATTTAACCCAGATTTATAAATCAAATGCGTATAATTTAGCTGACATTTAACTCAAATAAAGACCAATTATTACAATGAGACCTTTTTATTACTAGATATATGTTACAGTATGTAATTTATCATTTTATACAAAATTTTGAGGAAAACGTCACGAATTGACAAAAAAATTTTTTTGATAATAAAAAAAAAATTGAAAATAAAAATAAAATATTTTAGAACTACCTTCACATCTATAGCTTTCCTTAAACTTGGTGGCCTTTTTAAATGATTGAAATTTGATAGAATACAGATTTTTGTTGCATGGTAAATATATTTCTATTGTACAAAATACATAAATATGAACCTTAGTTTATAATATGCAAAAGATTAAATTGTATGAAAGAAAAACAAGTTTGTAAATTATTTATAACCAAAAATAAATTATATGATAAATACTAGTAATACACAGCTTGGCTCAGGTTAATGTAAAAAAATATTGTAACGACATGAATGGTCTGATAAAATTAAAATGGATCCTTTTTCATTAGATGATAGTTTTTAATCTTTCTATTGGCCAAAAGTTTCAAAATAGTTGAGTAGATGAATCTAGCTTAAGAAAATGAACCAAAATTACTTATTTCGGTTGTAAAACTAGTTCGTTAAGAATTAACGACTGGAAAGTTTATAAAAACGTTGGTGAAAGTCGATTCATTCATAATTTCAACAAGATTGAAAATATTTGTTTCTAAATCTTTTTTGTTCTGGTTTTTGTTTTCTGTGAAAATAAATCTTAACATTACACAGTGATTCTTAAAAACAAAATATTCAACATGAGCCAACAAAAATGAACTTTCAGCATTCATCAATCGAATTTTTTAGTGTGGATGAACCTGCCTGAAGATTGAAAAGTTGACGAGTTGAAATAAATTGCCTTTCACCAACGACTCTGTTATGCCATGGATGTTGATCATGCAAGAAGAAAATGCATTAATACAATATTATATTATTAATAAATATATGTGTATGGCTGTGACTACATTCAAGGTATAGAGTATTTTAGTACTATAACAATAAAAATGTATTTAAATACATAAATATACTCTGTTAAATATTAAAAAAAAATTATAAAAGTTATCTTTCTGATGTTTTTCGCTTGAGAACTGCAAACCATAATAAAGATAAGCACATATTGTCTTAAATGAAAATATACCCTAGAATATAAAAAAAAAGCTTACGTAGTATCATTTTCTGCACAAATCACTTTTATTGATAATGCCATTAAATTATCTGATAATGGGCATAATGGGTTTGAAATTGTAAACATAAAATAATCTAAAATAAATTTATTATAATTATTATTACGAAGGGTTTGTATAACAAGGTTGAACATTTCTTAATTAAAAAAGTATATTTTTCAGAACACTTTGTATATGGTGCTAGCTAGGTACTGATTATTATGAGTTCAAAATACTGTTGATTTATAATTCTCATCTCTGTAAATTTGTAACTTGGAGCTGTGCTTCTCAATGTGAATTCAATGTGTCTTGCATGAAATTATTCGTAGTTTGTGAAATGATTTCATGAACCCTGAGCAAATTACTGTATGATATGTTTTAAAGACAAATTGACTAATTATAAAATAATCAAGAATTTAACAATAATAGGCGTAATATAATGATAATTAACAAACAAAAACATTAGGCACTGATTTTTCCAAAATATAATAACATTTAACTTATTACACCAATTGTATAATATTTTAAAATGAATAACTATAATAACTAGTGGAAAAAGTCTCGTAGTTAAAACGGAAAACCCTGTTTTTCCATCTAACTGATTAAAAAAAAAAAAAAATTGTACAACGTTATCAGAGGCTATTTTTCAATTATATTTAAAAGATGGTATAAAATAGATTGGTGCCTCATTCTAAATGGTAGGTGACGGCTCAGAATATGTTTACTAGACTTTGGATTGTCCAAAATATAATAATGAAAAATAAGTTTAGGTTAATAACTATTATAAACGAATATATTTTGTTGGTCTCTTCTTCTATTTTATTATTTATTTAATTATTTCCCGTTCCATTATATTTTAGCGTGGTGAAACAATAAAAAGAACATGGATATCAGCGTTTTCATTAAGTCCAATAGTTTTTGTGATCCAATTGACCAAATAATCTCTTTCAATTAATTAATCTTTATGTAAGGTATTGGTTGAGATAAAAAAGTCAGTGTCACGAGCGGGATTCGAACCCACGACCTTCGGCTCGGCTAAATATGCCGCAGCTCTACCACTTGAGCTATTGTGACTTCAATCCACTCGCATACTAACTTCCCATCTCAACTCACCTTTTGAATTTTCCCTCCTTTTTGCTAGATGGGAAGTTAGTGTCCGAGTGGATCAAAGTATCGATAGCTCAAGTGGTAGCGCAGCGGCGTATTTAGCCAAGGGTCGTGGGTTCGAATCCCGCTCGTGACACTGACTTTTTATCTCAACCAATACCTTACATAAAGGTTTTCATAATTCAGCCGACACTATGATTTTTTCATACAAATCGTCATAATGGTGCTAGGGGGGTAATTATGCTTGTATCTGTACATTTAGTACATATCCTTTCCATTTAAAATTCTGTTGGGTTGCAAGGCACCGAATAATAATAAATTGACAAAAAAAATCTTTATAGACTTGATGCTGCTCATTTAATTATTTAGAGTTTATCAGCCTTTTTCTACCATCCAATGTTCCTATCCTTCTTTCTTACAACAGTATATACTATAACATTTTTATTTCCAAGCCATTAATCGATAGAGGTAACGTGTTTTATTTCAACTATTTCTGCAGGATGAGTTGCATTGAACTGGCCGACATATTCAACCTCGATCAATCAAGCATCTGGTTCCTGTGGATTATTGCATAATTTTTGCTGAGCTCAATCTTAAGGCCAATGGGAATGATGTTTGCCACCAAGCATGCTGCTTCATATGATTTCAATCCCTTAAACTTTTTAGCTCTTTTTAGAACCATCAAATTAATTTTGTTTCTTAGCTTCCTTCCCCTTATTGTGGACGTGTAGGTGATAAAGGTGTTTTTCGTTCCAATATGTCTGAGTACATCTGGACAGAGCGTTTACCATTTTGAAAGAGGATTGAGCAACTTGTCTAATATAGGATTTCCAATTAATTTTCCGGTGTAATAACACACGCATTCTCCATTTCCTGTATGCATTCCAATTTCCTTTTCTAAGAACATTCTAATTTCCCTTGTTTTGGGCTCTGTCAGACGAGGCGGTTTGGTCGATTCAACTAAGTTGCCTGGTTGACTCTCGACTAGTTTACTACCGTTGAAGACTTTTGCTGGTTTCACACCAGGCAACTTGTGGAATCCACCTTTCTTCCCAATGGGTTCTACGATGTTAGAACCTGAGCAAGGAGGAATACTTCTTGTGCTTGCTTTTCTGCAAAAAAAGGAGCAAAAATGGAGGGAAACCAGTAGAGAAAAGTGTGGGTTTATCTGTTGTTATAAAATTGGGAAATGGCGCTTTCTCTCAAATACTGTTGCGCTACTTCCCTCCAAGCTTCGCTTCTTTTAATTTTGTTCCTATAGTCCTCACACCTCATGTCATATCATGGGACTACTTATCTTCAATGAACTACTCCATATTGAAACTTACAATTGCAACACTTTCCATTGTGGGCTCGGTTGATTCAACTAGGCGACTGGTGTGAAGGACCAATGCCGAGCTGTGTCTTTTGAGTTGTCAACCAGTGGGACTGAGAACGTAAGTGGCACTTGTGCCTGCTGGCCACCCGCCTGGGGAGATGAGTTGACTGCGTATGAAAGGGTGGGGTGATTCCCAAACATTTAGCTACCAAGTTACACTCCTTGACACCCATCCGTTCAACTAGTTGAATCAACTAATCGTCATGTCTGAAAGAGGCCTAAAGTATTAGATGTATCAAGCACTTTTCTATTCACGAATATTCTGGATCATGGTATGGTATTGATGAAAAAGAAAATTTAGTTGTTACTGTGTGGTGATGAGTGACCGTTAATCGATAATTATTCAGAAATCGTGAGATGCGGTCTGGCGTGATGTAGGTTTCAGAAAAACATTTTCTTTATCGTGCCAACGTTTCGATCTTTATTGAGACTCTCAACACGACACGCAAGAATGGCACAATTACACAGAAGACAAAGCCCTGAAGAGGATCTCAATAAAGATCGAAACGCTGGCACGATAAAGAAAATGTTTTTCTGAAACCTACATTACACCAGACCGCATTTCACGATTTCTGAATAATTAGTTGTTACTGCCAAGTTTTCGACCTATTTTTAAGGTCATCTCATTT